CCTCAGGGCTCCAGCTCAGGCACAGACCAGTCAGGTGCAGCGCCATCCACACTAAGAACGAGCTCTCGTGAAAGCAGAGAATCCTTCAGAGCCCTCTCGGGCCTGACTGGGGCATCCTCTGGCCCCTGAAACGTTTGGGGTGTTGAGTTACCCGACCTTGACTCTCACCTGGTTGTCCGCCCTGCCTCAAGGGCAATCAGTCTGCAGCCTCCTGGGCTGTGCAGGGCTGGGGGCCTTCCATGCCCTACCTCACCTCAGCTCCCAGCAGTCCTGCAAGGAGTCCTGGGCTAGATAGCTGGGCCCCCTCTTACGGATGCTGCTCCTCTGTGCCTTTTATCACAATTAGAACAGAACAATAGAGCAGTACATTGTCTAACATTAATACCCCATGAAGTCCGTGTCTCCTGGTCACTAAACCCTAGCACCTACAAGAGTGTGATAAACTCAATTGACTAATTATTCATTGTTTAGTGTCTTCTCTAACAGAAGACGAGCTTCATGATGCCAGCGATGATGTGTACTTTATCTGTGTCGCACTGCCCGCCTCTAGCTGAGTGTCCTGCAGTGTGGCTGGTGGTCCCCAGTGATGAGGCAGAGGTCAAACACTAGCTGAATGGATGAGTGAACAGCCATCCCATGTTACAGATGAGGACTATCCCCATCCCATGTTACAGGTGAGGAAACTGAGGCTCTGATTAGGTGCCTTGCCCAAGTTCCCACAGTCACCAGGCGGCAGAGCTGAGTGTGGACCCGTCTGCTCAACACAGGTGCTCATCTTGTTCCCTTCTGCTGACTCCTGGGCAAGGGTGAGCTGGTGATGCCAAGGTCTATCTGCATCTACCTTTGCTGTGACCCACGTGGTATGGCGCCTTCTCTGGCTGAGAAGGCCGAGACTGACTGATTTCTCCCCTCCCCAGGCAGAGTTCCAGGAGCTGTCCCTCCCTCCAGAAAAGCCTCTGCTGGCATGTCCCAGAGGCCCTTGTCCCTCCCAGGTGTGGGGAGGGCACAGCCCCCCCAGCCCTGGTGCTGTCGGCTGCAGTGAGCGCAGGTATCTGGGGTGGGGGAGGACAGGCAGGAGGGCTTGCAAGCCACCAGTGGATATCCCAGCATGGGCCCGGGCTCCAGCTGACCTGCCCCATCAGAAACGCTGAAACATTCCTATTTGTCACCACACATCGGACAGGGGAGACATCTAAATATCTCTAGGGGTCTCCAGGGGTCCCCTGGCCTCTGGCCTGCCTCTGCCCATGGCCAGTGGTGGCTCAGCACCAAAACATCCTACAGGCTCCTTGGCCAGTCCATGACTGCCCCCCAGGAGGTGTGTGCTGCACAACTATTCTCCTCAGGGGAGAATGAGGCCATGGACAGTGGTGGCCTCTGCCTGTCACCGCTCCCTACTCAAGACAAACTCTTCTCCCCAAACCCCCATCAGTCTCTTCCTCTTCCTTAGATCCAGGCCCAGCCTGTCATGCTGTGCAGCTGATTTATTTTTCTTGTGGCCTTGCTCTCAGTGGGGCTAGAGAACAGCATGTCATCACCCTCTCTAAATATTACAACTCTGCAGAGAATTGATGAATGTGACTCATCACCCTCCATTCTCCAACTAGAGAATCCCCAGGCCTTTCTTTGTTGATATGAGTGTGATCATAATCATAAAAATAACAGTAACAATAATAATGGCAGCTCACAATTACTGAACACTTGTTATGTGCCCGATATTGTGCTAAGCACTTTCCCCACATTATTCCATTTACTCTTTGCAACTCTATTATGTAGGTACTCTTCCTATCCTATTACACAGATGAGGAAACTGAGGTTCAGAGTGGCTCAATGCCTGTAACTTGTCCTGGTCACATGGCCAGGAAACAGCAGAGTAGAGGCAACGTGCAGAACTGCTTAACCCCAGAGCCTGGGCCTAACCACTGTGCCCCACTGGCTCTCCATGAGCCCAGCCTCAAAGGGTGTTTTTAAACTATGATGTCACCCCCCCATCTCGTACTTAACCATCAACCCAAGCCAAAAGTTCAACCCCAAAACAGACACCAGAGTGAGCACTGTGTTTCTACCAAGGGCTATAACCAGTGCTACTGATGGAACAGGGAAAGAGGCCCCAGAGGGACATTTGCATATGATTGCTTGCAGTTGGCCTCTGATGTGTACCAGCCACCTCTGTCCCTGGCGATGTCAGAGTCAGAATCATCTCTGACCCCATGAAAATTATAGCATCTTGTTTTTTCTCTCCTTTCATCTCTTTCCTGATTGCCATCATTGATCCTGGCACATCCCAGACAGAAATACCCCCACTGTAGCAGGGGTCTGACGTGCAGGCCACTCTGTGATTAGGGCAGTGTTCTTTTATCAACCCAAAGTCACTGCCTCCGTGGGAGAGACACAGAGGGAGGTGTCACCCCAAGGGCAGTCACCGTAGAAGAGGCCTGAGTCAGCCCCTCTGACCAAATACCCTTGCTACAGGGCTGGGGCCCAAGAGCCAGCACCATGGAACGAGGAATAGGAAGATGCCTGCTGAGTGGGAGAAGACATGGTGAGAGAGGGCAAGGAACTGGGCGAGGCGCAGGGGCGGCGGGTGAGCCGGCTGTGTTGGCCGAGGCAGGCTAGGAACCTGTGCTGGAGGGCCAGACTGCTCCTGAGCAGTGAATTTTCTGGATTTCCTTTGTGTTCCACTGAATGAGTGAAACCTGCACAAAGCTTGCGGAGCTGAGAGCAATCAAGGAAAGCACCTTTGTCCACGCTGTGCCGGGGACAATGCCTGGGCCAGTGAGGTGGTGAGGACAGGACCAGGAAAGAAAATTCCAGAAGGGGGAGCTCAGTGGCTTGGCTTGTACATGTTGGGACCACTTGGTGGGCTACCCCTTCCCACTTTAAACTTGAGCCTATGGGATCTGTTCTAATAGGAAGTCTGTTTCCTCACATGTCCTAAGGGGGAGACCCCTGGATTTTCAGGAACTGCCATCAGACAGGAAAGGCCCCTGGTGGCTCCTCAGTCACAGACACACACACACACACACACACACACACACACACACACACCCCCCCCACCTCTCTCCTGCCTCTCCTCTGAGTCTCCTGTGAGCCTAAGGGCTCCCCAAACCTCCTTCCCACAGATTCCTCGGACACACTCCTTTCTCCTGGGCACGTAAAAACATATGTCTGGTAGTCAGGCTGGGTAAAAGCTAGTATCAGAAAGTGTTCTGGGGGTGTTTCTCCCACTTAACCAACGATGGGATCTTGGAAAAGTTACTTCATCTCTGTGCCTCAGCTTTTTCTCCTGTAAAATGGAGATAATCACAGTACAGCCCTCTTCTTTGCTGTGGTGATTGAGTAGATGAATGCACTAGGGCAGGGGCTGGTTCAGGCAAGCTCTGCGTAGGCGTGAGCTCTCACTGCTAGCGATCATTCCACCATGGGAGGGCCAAGGTGGGTAGGAGAAGCAGCAGGGAAACAGCACATCTGCACTGCCTGAAGGGCTCAAGGCCAGGAGTCCAGCCACGCACTCCACTTCCCTGAGCTCGGCTCAGCTGCAACACCCGCAGGTCCCTCCGGGATGTGGAGATTCAGCCAGGGGCAGCCGTCTTCCTGGGAGACCAAGGTGACTGCTGCCTACACTGTCCCTACCTGACAGAGGAGCGTGAGGGGTTGGGAGAACCCCAGAACTGGGGCCAATGTGTTTTGCAGATACATGTCTCTCCCAAAGGCTTAGTCTCAGTTTTGACAGACAGATGGAAGACACGCAGGCAGAATCCACAGTCTTGGATCCCAGGGCAGACTTGGGAACTGGGCAGTTCTCATTCTGCCTGAAAAAAAAAAAACAGTGCTTCCCTCACCCCTGCCGTTGTCAGCCTCACCTTCTCTGTGTGTGTGTGTGTGTGTGTGTGTGTGTGTAATTTGCACTATTTCATTTAATCACTTCCTTGAAAACTCAGGCCAAGCCTCCAAAGAGTCCTCTTTAAACCAAACTTAGAGGACTCGTGAGTCCCAGGGAAACTTGCCTGGGGAGAAGGAACTCTCCGGAAGGCAAACACAGCAGCTCCTTTTCTGGGCATATGGGAGGATTATCGGGCTCTCCAGGAAGCCATGCTGGATGAAGGCCACTGTATCGCTTCGTGTCCCCATGGAACTCATAAGCAGATTTTGCACTCTATTAATCTACATCTGTTTGCACGTCCCTGCTGTCAGCAGCTTCTGTCTAGGGAGGCGGCAAACACGCAGTGAAAGGAACGTGGGCTCTGGAGCGGCCACTTGGGTGCAGCCTGTCTGTACCACTGCTGGCTGGGGGACCTTGAGCTCGAGTCTTTTAATTTAGAACACATTCCCCACCCTTTTTTCTTTTTCTATGACTGACTTTTTAAAGAGTACACAATGTAGACTGTCCCACGTTCTGGATTTGTCCAGTTGTTTCTTGGTGATTTTTTTTTCTTTAAATTTATTACGGAAAATTTCAAATAGAGTATATATGAAGTAAATAGCATACATGACCTATCTATCAACTGGGTGTGCTGATAAAGGTAGCTGGCTTGCAGTGCTGTCAGGAGGACTGGTGATAAGGTGGGCAGAGCCTGGCCCAGTGCCTGGCACGCACTGGCTTAGGAGGCATGGAAGCTGCCAGATGGTGGTGAAGATGAGATGATGGTGGTGACATTCGGGTCCCAGTCTATGCTTTCCGTCTCTCTTGGTAGGCTAGGAGCTCCTCCCCAAAGCGGGTGGTGGTGCTTCCTCCTTTCTCCTCCTCCTGTTTCTATTCTCTCCCTGCAGCCTCGCTGTCCCCCTCTCCCCACCCCCCAAAAAAGTTACAGGGGACACCATGATAATTCACATTTAACATACCTGGAGGGGTGGGGCTGGCGTGCTCTAGACAACACATTCTCCAAAGTCAACAAACCACCCTGTCAGGCTGTGCCCACTTGAAAGGAGGGAAGTGGGATGTCTCCGTCGGGGTCCAGCTCTCCCTCCCTTCCCTCCTCCTTCCCCAGCCTCACCCCTACCTCACGTTGTCATGTTTCTGGATGTAAATCTTATGGAACATCATATCCTCCTGCTTGGCGTTGATGTCTGCTTTCATCTCCATGGCAACATGACGGGGAAGGACAGACAGCAGGAGCCGCTCCTGCGGAGGGAAGCACATTCTTTCATCACGGCGCCTTCCACCTGCCTGGCAAGTGCTCTCTCCTCCACACCTGTGCCCCTGCCTGAGGGCCCTGGAAAACCTTTCAGGCTCTCCCGGGACTCCTGGGCTAACTGTGTGTGTGTGTGTGCGTGCGTGTGTGTGTGTGTGCGTGTGTGTGTGCATGTGTGTGTATGTGCGTGCAGGCTACCTGTCCCCCATCTTCCCGCCCCAGGACACCACGTGATCCTTCCGCCTCACTCTCCACGTTTCTCTGGCAAAAGTGCCCCTGGTGAACCTGTGAGTACTGAGCACCTCGGGTTAGAATCCTGGATGTCACTTGAGACTCTGCATGACCTTGGGCAAATTACTGAACTTCTCTGAGCCTCAGGTTGCTCATCTGTAAAATGGGGATGGAGTTGTTGGGAGCATTACATGAGATCCACTCCATCAGTTTTCAAATATTTATTGAGCACCTACCATGTGCCAGGCACTATTCTGGGGACCAAGAGAGTTAACACCAAGAGTGAGACAGGCAAGGTTCCTCCTTCAGAAAGCATCTGGTGTAATGGGGGTCTCGGGGGCTACTACGGGGGCACTGATCAGGGACACCTGATCTCCGCTGGGGTAGTCAGAGAGGGCTTCCTGGAGACTGGAAGGATGGGGTAGGAAGGAGGTGCTCCAGTTCCACTTGGGGGACAGTGGCCCAGGAGAGAGGGAAAGCAAGCTGACTTAGAGAAACCACATCACAACCAGCTACAGGGGAGGTGGGAGAGAAGCAAGTGGAGGGGCAGGCCACATCGCGGAGGCTCACGTCAGCCTGTTATGGAGTCTGGACTATGCCCTCTTTCTGAGCTCCTCTCCTGGGCCTGCCCTGCTCCAAGATGCCCACCTGCCTCCCTGCCAGACCAGACTCCCTGTCAGGCTGGTGCACATCATTTGCTCATCACCAGCCTTTCATTTTGGCTGCCTCCAGCCCTCCTCATTCTCCTGCCCTTCACACCACACCAGATGCTAGAGTCACCCTCCTACGTGGCCCTGAGACTCTTCTGCTTCTATGTCATCTCTGCTTCCTCTCCCTCCACCTGGTCCCAAACATGCCATGTCCCACCTCTGTCCTCGCCCCATCCATGCCTGCATTCTGGGAGTAAATCCATGGCCAAGGCTCCCACTGTAGAGGTGGCTCTATCAGCCACTTCCCACCTCCCTACCTCCTGTCCATGGCTCGCCAGCCTCCAGCTGCCCACATGGATGTATTGCCGCCACCACCACCCTGACATCACACCCAAACCACACTCGCTTTCCCACACTGTCATTCCCCAATCACTTTTCTTTCCATTTCCCTGCCTTTACCCGGGACAGCCCCATTCTGCTGCACCAGTGTCAAGGCCCTGCCCACATAAATGGCTTTTGCTTTTCAGATCTTTCCCTCTGACACTCATTCCTTTCCCCTGAGCCGTACGCCCTGTCCAGCACTGATGAAGTCCTGCTCATCTGGAAACAGCTCTCGCACTTGTCCTTTCCGTTGTGCCTTCCTCCACTGCCCATATGCAGTTCTCACCTGGCTCTTGGATTCTGGTTGCAACACCCTGGACAGACAGCCTCCCTCTGCCCTCCCTGATGCCTGCACAGCCCCGATCTCTCTGAAACACTACCTGTGCTCAACACCTTCACAGGTTTTCTAGTTTCACCAGCCACATCACATACAGGTTTTTCCAGACCCACTAAACTCACTCTTCCTTATTTTCCACTGCAAATCAATGCCCATGTCCCCTTACCCCCTTGCTATGCCTCATGCTTGCCTGGCCCACCCCTGCCACCCCCAGACTGGCTGCTGCTCCTCTCCTTGCTGAAGCACCCTCTCCACCCCAACCTTAGCCTGTCACCGCCCAGGCCACCTTCAGGGCCAGACTGGATGACCGGGGCAGCCTCTAGATCACTTTCTTTGTCTCCAAGCTTGCTGCCTCTGGTCCATCCTCCCCTCTGCAAGCAAGCAACTGCTTTTCCTAAAACACACCAGACCATGTCGCCTTCTAAGCCTCCTGACCCTGCTGAGATCAGCCCATGCCCGCAGCCTGGCCTGGAGGTTTCCATGATCTGACTCCTCCCTGCTCTTCCACCTGCTGTCCCAGCAGCACTGAAATGAAATCCACACTCTGCTCCAGATAGAGCAGAACCCAGAGTCCCCTACGCTTCCTGGGGTCTTTCTTGCTGCTGCACACAAGCTCCTCAGCTGGCATCACCCTCCTCCTCCGCTCCTCCCCACCCTCCTTCAGGGTCTCCCTTTTCCCAGGAGGAGGTCTGACTCTGGCTGCCGGCATCCCCTCCCCACCTGCTGAAACCCCACATCAGTAGCCTGTTAACTGTGTGTGAGGAGAGGCCACCTTGGGGACCGGAGCTGTGTCTTGCCCAGTGCCACGGCCCAGAGCCTTCTGCTCGAGAAGCTGACACATTCGTGAAGGGCAGTGTTCCCTATGGGTCGGTCTGGCCCCCCAGGCAGCGGGAAACATGAGCACCAAAGGCCAACTCTTAGTAAACAGTTACTGGTGACAGAAATAGGAATTAAAAGACAGCGTGGGATGACTGGGAGAGACCGCGCTACAAATCGTTTGGCTTCATGATAGGCCTCCTACATTTACAACCACCTCCGGGGCTGAGGGCCAGGAGGGGTAGTCAGGAGGCCGCTGGGGAATAATTCTGAGTCCAGTCATCACAGGGCACCTAGAAGCTTCCCCAGGGAGCCCCGGCAGCTCTCTCTGCATGCCTTGCTGGCTGTGGCTGGCTGAGAAGCACCTGTCCGCAGAAAGCGTCCCCTCCTCAGCACATTGGCTCTGAATATGGAATGGCAAAAATATTTTCTCCCCTAAAGCCCTGTGGATTTGGTGGAATGTCCAGACTGGCCCAGGCCAGAGCAAGGGAACTGTGGCAAGCTGTAAAATGGTAATTCCCCTGGAGAAGTGAGAGAGGAAGCCCCAAAAATGGAATAAAAAGGAGGTATCCTGATCTCAGGTGAGAGACGCTGAGGCCTGGAATGGGGATGAGATAAGGGGCTTTTCAGGAATGCTGAGGCCTTGGGATGAGCATGGGGCAGTGTGCCAGAGGTGACGTACATGTGTTAATAATAAAGGGCAGTGGGAGGACCCCAGGGACACTGCCAGCAAGGGCTTCCTTCAAGATGCTGGACCAGAAGCTCCGACAGAGCCAAAGAGTGAATGGGGAGAGCCAGGCTGAGGACTGGTCAGCGTAAGTGGGGACCTGACAAGACATGCCGACCACCGAGGTAGCACTGGAAAGGAAGTGGGGACACGTGGGGACTCGGGGGCCTGGAGAGGTACTACAGAGCTTTGCCCCCTTGTTTGGCTGTCTGGATGTCACCAGCCTGTCACTGTGACTCACTTAGGATGCAACCAGATGGCATCAAGGACGTCCCCCGCAGTAGTAAAACATTCTGCACTCAGGGTGGCCACAACATGTGCTCCATGCTGGCCTGGAGCCATGAGTGACCACTGCCATCTTGGCCCTTTCTCCATGTCCCCCACACTCAAAGGCAGACCTTCCATGTTCGTATCAGCCATGGGGGCTGACGCCGCATGCGGCACTCAGGTGGGCTCCACTGATGCTTGCTGAGGGTCTGGGGAGATGATAATCTAAGAGGGGAGGGAAGGCCTCCGGTTTGGAGCAACCTTATCTCATAGGAGCCAGTGGGAGCCCCATTGCTCTGCAGACCCGCCCACTCTCTCCCCTAAGCCACACAGCCCCCAGGCCTCCTGTGTGGGAGCCATCACTCAGAGTCACCAGACCCCTACCTGATTCACACACACGAGAGGAGACAGTGGGGATCCACAACTGGAATCCAAACAGGACTCCAACCCCAAAGAGGGAAGGGCTGGACCCCTGATGTGGCCCTTAGCTCTGCTCCCACCCCACCCAAGAGTGGTGCACACAGGGCAGGTCCCTCTTTGCACCAGGAATCTGTAACCCTGGGAATGGCCTGCCTTCCCTGGCCCAGGCAGGTCTAGGAAGAGATGGAACTTTCTTCCTTCTCTGAACCACCAAACCCCAGAACTCAGAGAGAGGAATAGCCAGGTGTGGGGTGTCTCAGGGGATGAAGCTCCTGTCTCTTCTTTTCCCTCATCCCTCCCCTGTGGAGCACTTAATCCCAGTTAGGAACACTGGCTTCTCTCCTTACTCCAACTCAAGGGGGGTGCAGTGTGGGGAGGGAGGGGGAGCCGTGTGGGGAGGGAGGGAGGGACCCTCTTGCTGCTGGGCTTGTTTGCAAACCACAGGGACACCACATGGCTATGGGCACCTGGCCTTAGGCACGGGCAGGGTAGAGCTCCCTTCCCACAGGGCCTGGAATGCTGGACTCTCTCCAGGGGAAACATTCCCCACGGGTTGGGCCCCTCCCAGGGAGTGGGGCTGGCAGCTGTAACGAGCACCACCTGCCCCAGGCCAGGCGCTCAGGGGAGGCGCATCTTGGGTCTCTACTCCTTCCCACTGCGCAAGGGCAGGGGGCTCACTCACCTGCTGCTGGTTCTCCCGCTGTGAGTGGAGCCGCGCCTGGATGCACTCTCGGGTCTCCTGGAAAGCCTGTCTCTGGGAGACCTCAGCTGGGTAGTGGGTGCAGACACCCACGATGTTGGTGCAGGAGAAAATGAGAACATTGGAGACAAGCTGCAGAGGGAGAGAGGAGCACACCGAGCTCAGATCCTGACCCTCCTGGCCCCAAAGTGTGGAGCCCTCAGCCCCTGTCTCAGCAAACTCACACCTGGCGCTGGCAAACAAATGCTGAGGGCACCCCACACGCAGCCAACCACTGGGAGCAGCCGGGCATAATCGATCGGGCTCTCTGATGTCCTCACAGCCAGAAGTTTGGCTGGCCTGTCATGGGGTATGTCTTTTAAGGACACTGAATCACCTAGTAATCATACTAAACATGCCTATCGTACCAGAAATGAAAAGGTTACATGTACTGTGACAGAGCTGTGTATGTGCTGGAGGCAGGAGGGCCACCGCAAGGAAGGTGCCACAAGGGTGCTGGGATTTCACTTTTGAAAGTGTGATAGAGTCCAGCACAGGACAAGGGGCCACCCTCCCCCAGGGATCAGCTCCAACGAATCAAGGCCTCTCAAATCCCCTCAGGTCCCCAGCACTGTGCTAAATGCTCTAGGGAACAAAAGGACAGGGCTGGCCAGTCAGGGTCCGTGGCCACAGTGGGTCTCCACTCCTTCCTCCCTAGGCTTCTGGTCTTTCTGTTACCAGCCCTCTGACAACCACCGCACCAGCTGGCCAGTGCCTGCCACTCCCCTGCTTCCCAACAACTGAGATGTGTGTGTGGAAAAATACCACTGACCCTCCAGGTCAGCAGAGTTGAAGCTGGAATTCCATTGAAGGAAATACTTACTGAAAAGCTAAGGGAAAACGAAACACAATACAACACGACGCGGAAAGCAAGGTTATATGGTACATTCAGATCCCAGTGAGTGATGTGTAGGCAAAATTTCTCTTGGCAGATAGAGCTCCTGGGTATCTGAGTACATGGGTCCTGTTGTCCTTGACTTGGGGCCACATGGGACAGAGCCACACAATGATGCTCCGGCTCCCAGGCTGTGGGGGCTTTGAGCTGCACCTCAGTTACTCCCTCCAAAAACTTCCTTCTTAGTCCCAGCTCCAGAAGGGGAGCCCGGGTCAGTCGCTGCACCTTCTGTTGTGGCTCCCTCAGCCCTCAGGAGGCCTGTGTTGGTCCCAAGTCCTGGGGTATGGAAGGCACTTGGCCATTTGCATCCCAAAGGGCCTTGCTGTGGGATGTTGGCTACCTGGCAGTGGCCCCGGCGATGACTCCTACGCTCTTCTCAAGGGGCCTCTTGGCTCTCGACTCAGGTCTGCTTTCTACCTGAAGGCTTTGCCCACCACAGCTTTGAGGTGGTCCTGCCCTTGCTCCTTGCTGAATGTGGTACCACCTTTCCCTGGAGACATCGCATGGTGTGTATGCCCCAGTCCATGAAAAGACTTTCTCTTTCCCATTTCAGACTCTTACTCCCTACCGGCTGAAGAATGCCCTGAGCTCCCCATGTGTCTCCTGGATGCGCCTTCCAGGAAGGGGCAAGTTCAGATTTCCAGCTCCACTGCCTCAGCCGACTATTGTTGCTGACTTATAACTCTCATATTCTTCCACCCCAACCCCATCTACCCTAGAATCCCATCGCTGTCATTTTATGTAAACACACGGCATAGGAAAAGCCAACCTATTTATCACAAGGAAAGAAGACCCTTGCTCTTCAGAAACTGACAATCCACTTGAAGAGTGTTATAGATGGAATGTTTGTGTCCCCCAAAAGGACTGTTGAACCAAAGAGTGGCTGGATGAGCCCGTGGCTTCTGGAAGATTCATCAGAGGCAAGAGTGCAGGAATGGGAGACAGGTCCAGACGCTGCCACAGAAGCCCAAAGCATGAGGGAACAAAGACCTGTGTGGCTGGGAGCCAGTCAGGGCAGAGCTGACACAGAATGAAGAGCCCCTAAGACCAGGGAGAAGAAAGTCCAGGAGGAAATAGACCGTGGCCTGAAGCAGCAACCAATGCTGTGATTATGAAGTGAGATCCCAAAAACAGGCCTCTGGGAAGTCACTGGGAACCACTGGGAGAGGATAAGGAGGAAGAGATGAGGAAGTGAAGGCGGAGGGGTAGGCCACAGGGAATTCTGAAGGATGATCTAGTTAGGGGAGATCTGTGTGAAAAGAGAGGAAGGTGCCAGGTGATAAAAACAGAAGTGAGACAGGAGAAACTGGGAAGGAGAAGATAAGGAGCTAGCCTCAGACAGGCTAGTGCATCATGAAAATATGATACAACATGACCAAATGGGCTTAATCCCAGGAATGAAGGCTGGTTCAACTTCAAAAAGCAATCAACATAATTTTCCATATTAACAGGCTAAAATTTAAAAACCATATGATCATTTCAATAGTTTCTAAAACATCATTTGGCAAAATGCAATATACATTAATAATTTTTAAACTTACCAACTTAGGAATAGAAGTCCCTTAATCTGATCAATAGCATATACAGAAACCTACAGCTAAATTATACCATACTTAATGGTGAAAGACTGAATGCTTTCCCCTAAGACCAGCAACAAAGCCTATTTGTCACTCCTATTCAACATCACACCGGAGGTCCTAGCCTATGCAATCGGACAAGAGAAAGAAACAAAAGACACACAGATTAGAAAGGAAGAAATAAAACAGTCTCTATTTGCAGATGACATGATGGTCTACATAGAAGAACCTCAAAATTTTAAAAAACTACCAGAATTAATATGCAAGTTTGGAAAAGTCATAGGATATAAGATCAATATACAAAAAGCAGCCTACTTTTATATATAAGTAAATACCAATTGGAAGTAAAATTTTTAAAGGTATAGTTGGCTCTCTATATCCACAGGTTTTATATCTGTAGGTTCAACCAACCTTGGATCAAAACTAATAGAGAAAACATAAGCAGATGGCTGGACAGAGAAAGAATGGCCTTCCCTCTTTCTGAGGCCAGAAAGAGAGGCCAGAGTCTATTTTGAGACATGACCCCCAAAGTAATTATCAAGTGTCTGCTGCAGCATCTCTGTACTAATCCTCCGGGTCTCTCCTGCTGTAATCTGACTCCTCCTATAGCCAGAAGGCCAATGGTAACCGACAGTGCAAATCCAGGTAAAAAGATGCACGGTAACCCAATATCCATCCAAATGGCTTTGCTAAGCTTAGTGTGCCTTGGTGTTCATCTCTCTTCTACTAAACACAAAACCAGGCAGGCAGAAAGAGGGTGCTGTGGTTTGAGGGTGGGGTCTTGAGCAAGGCTATTGGAAAGGTCGGATTTCAGCAAGTTGGACCTGAAAGTGAAAAAGAGATTAATAGCTGCCTCACTCACACACACTCACACCATCTGCCAAAAAAGCAGGAATCTGGGCACCAGGTCTTAAAGGGTGCTAAGGTCCCTGTGCAGATGCTTTGGTTATGAATAGTGAGGAGGTATCGGTAAAATCTGATGGAATTCTGCTTACACACAAAGGGAGTCTGAAGTTTGAAAATGATCTCACACCTTGGGGACAAGAAAGTATGTCCAAATGCTGCCGGCCTCTCTTCTCCACTCAAACAGTGACCAAATAATGAGCCACCTCTTACACCCCCATAAAGACAGGCACAGTAAAAGTAAGTATAAACCCTGTCCTTGTGTAAAGGACCTAATTAGTAAATAGTAACAGATATCAGTCACTGCTGAGGCTTCACAACAGCAGGTAAACAGGGCCTAATTAAGGGTTTATTGGTTTTCCCTGTGCTGGCCTCATGGGACACATCTAACCACATGGAACACAAGTGGTGTGTGTGTGTGTGTGTGTGTGTGTGTGTGTGTGTAGGGAGTCAGTGGTATGGGGGAGCATGTGACATATGCCCACATTACACCAAGTGGAGTGAAAAGGAGACCCGACAATACAGCAGACTGCAGCCCTGGAGTAGCCTCAGCATCTGCTTTAAAACAAGCGGCCAGATGTGGTGGCTCATACCTGTAAAACCAGCACTTTGGGAAGTGGTCCTTGGGTGGATTTGGAAAATCAGATCTCACCTCTTTGGCTTGCACTTCATCAGGGTGATTACAGACTCTGATGCACAGGGAAAATGCTGTAGTCTGTCTACTCTGTCCTCACAAGTGGAGGAAGATCTGGAAAAGGGAGTAGGGAAGAGTGGACAGGCCGAGGTCGGAAGATCACTTGAGTCCAGGAATTCAAGACCAGCCTGGACAGCATAATGATACCCCATCTCTACAAAAAATAAAAATAAAACATAAACAAATTTACCAGGTAGTCCCAGCTACTTGGGAGGCTGAGGCAGGAGGGTCACTTGAGCCCAGGAGGTAGAGGCCGCAGTGAGCTATAACCATACCACTGCACTCTAGCCTGGGCAACAAAGCAAGACTCTGACTCCAAAACAACAACAACAAAATGTTTAAAACAAGCCCTGCAGATGGATGGGGTTCAAGTGAACAAGGTTCAGGGGGTCCCAGGACCACATCAAGAGGGACTCCACTAGAGGGGGAATGTTTGACTCTCTTCTCAGAGTCAAAACCAAGGGGAGATGCCGAGGAATATTTAATACTTCTAAAACCCCAGCATTTCTGAAACCCAATCTCTGGCTGCCCGCAGGCTGCAGGTTTGATCTGAACCAAGAGTGGGAAGTTACGGTGCTCAGTTTGTGCAGTGTCTCCTCGGGAAGACTCAAAGAAACCCCAGCCACCGGCCTCAGGCACTACGGTCGTTTCTGCCTCTCCTCTCTGAGTTTTCAGGGGGCTCTGTGGGCCTACTACAATAGGCTTGCTGCTGGATAATCCTGGGAATGGTGCAAGGCAAAGGGGAGTGAGAAATGCATGGTTTTGGAGTAGAAGGAAATGAGTTGGGGAAGACCCCTGCTCAGTTTGCTCTTTTATGTGGTTCCTGTTCCCGGTAAGTCAGCTTGCTCCTTGCAGTATGGTTCACAGGTGAATGGTGGTGGCTGTGGTAGGAATCAGAACTTCCTGGGGAGCCAGATTTAGTGATGGGGGAGGGAGCAGGATGTTCAGCTAAATTTGAATTACAGGCAAACAACACATACATCTTTTAGTGTAAGAAAGTTCCAGGCAATATTTGGGACCTACT